CAGCCCATTTAACGGGAGCAGATGACATCTTGTCATTGGTGCTTCTCTAAAAGTTATCTGAGGTTGAAGGAGTCGCGGTCTGTTTTTGTGCGTTACCTTATCTATGTGCGGGTGCCAGTACTCGTCGTGTTGGGTCTTGGCTGCCGTGCTGTTGATTCTGGAGAAGAAGGTGGGCTTGGTGAGGTACATGAGAGACGGGTCCAAACCAAACGTCTCGGCAATAACTGCCTGGATTCGCCCACGTACATCTCTTAACGTTGAAAAACAGACACAACATGTCAGAGTGAAAGATCTGACTTAATTACTTAAGGACGTATGATTTATGAACGTGATTCAGAGAGCTACTTTGGGCAACACTCGTCAAGAGGAGGTCAGCTGCAGCTCATCAGCATATGAGGACTGATATCTTTAAAAACACTTTCAGACTTCAAATGCTAAATATAATATATATATATATATAATATGTCTTTTCATTTGGGTGATGATGACGTTTTTGTATTCATTATCCCAGAAGTGTACATATACACAATGGGCATAAAAATACATACAAATACAAATAAATACACATCTATTAAACTATACACTACATACTACTATATACACTTCATCAATCATAAAAGAATGCTACCAAAGACATCATGAGAATATAATATATAATAATGTTTGCTACTATTGTGTATCATCATTTGAATGCACAGAATTTCACTTTTCAAAAAATGTCAGGTATCTCATTTTGGAGCAAAACTCTAAGAATGTGCAATAAATGCGCGGCTGATTTTTAATAAAAGTTCCTCAGTCACCTATAAAGCTGGAAGTCCTCTTGTGTGAACACGTCTCTGATCTGATCCCCAAAATACCTGCAGCCAAAGTACGGTACGCAGACAAAGCCAATCAGAGACACGCGAGCAGACAGACACAGCAGAGGGGGGGGATAGAGAGCAGACAAGAAGGGAACCGTTAGCATAAATTTATGTTTCACAGCACGGCACAGTGCACTAATACCCAGACAGGTGTGCCACTCATCCATTCAGACTCAGCAGAGAATTAACATCTGACTGCTTCCCAGAGGAAGTCCCCAGCGGGGGTGAACGGTGGGAAGCAGCGTGGGAGTGCTCTCGTCATCACTTCCTGATTAAAATCACTCAGATGGTCCCTAAGGATCCTGTGTCAACCACCTGCCCAGTGAGACGGCAGAGAGAAGGCAGGAGTCTGAGGGAGAAATGAATGAAGGGAGGTGGTATAGGAGGAGGATGGAGAGGAGCTGATCATCCAAATAAAACTGGGTTCTGCTGGCAGTGAAAAATGAGGGTTGCATTGGTCCCTGGACCTGAAGAAGAAGGCTCGCAAGGACTGGCATTAGTAAGACTGATGACCCGGTTCATATTTTGGTGGATATATTTCTGCAAATGTTACATATTATGCAGGAAGTCATCCCTGCAGGCACCAAAATAGAACAAATAAAGACAAGCTGTACTTTCCCACCTGTAGATGTTGACAAACTGTTTTCCCATCGACAACGCTCCAGAGTGCAGGTCCAGTATGGAAGCCTGCAGGGGTCAAAAGAACAACAGGAATTAGTGTCAAAGATAAGTCACTGTATCAAGGGTTACCTCTGCCCTTTACTTGTTTTTGCTTGTCAACTCCTTTGGAAGTTGTTTTTCACAAGCCAGTAATTAGGTCATTTTCACAGTCGCCCTCCTGCTGCTTCCCCTCCCTTCACCTAAGTGTCTTAACACTCCATAAACAGTTCATTTATAGGCCGAGGACCAGGCTGCTGGGGACGGGGAGCAGGAGGTAGGGCATGCCAGGGACATCAAGACATCTCTGGACAAGAATATGACTCCACATGTGATCTGCCAGAGTGGCTGGAGCTCTGCTTGTTGTGCCAGCCTGCCCTCTAGTGTCAGAGGAGGTTCATTATAGCAGGGAGTTTGAGTATGTGGTGCGTTTTGTATTTGTCTATGGGGGGGGGTTCTAAGCTGAAACAGGTGGCAATATCTGGGCAACGTGATAATAACGCGTTAATGTGCCCAGCCCTAGTCTAAATCCATCGATGTGTGACACTGTTGCTCTGGGTGACATGTTCCTTCATTAAGATGAATACACAAACTGTAGTTTATTTTGAATTACACACACACACACTCCTGAAAATGCCTACTAACACTGGTAGTGCACCAAGCACATATTAGTGTATCTGTGTCTGAAAATAGTCTAACAAATGCAATACAAACCATGTTAGCTTAAACTACAGTGAACAGCTATTTCAGGAAATTACTTCACTTTCTTTGTTAATCAAACAATTGTGGTTGTACATGTGTGATTAGTTTGTTTTCTTTTTTCTTCTGCCTTTCTCAGAAGAAGTCTTCCACGGCCCATTTAGCCCAAGCTAGCCCAAATAGCTTTATTTCTAAGGATTATGAGAGACCTCAGTTTAAATTTGAATTAACTGAACTGCTATACTGTGGGACAATATGCAGCAATAAAATATAAGGAGTTAAATGTACATAGCAATTTCAACAGATCCACGAAGCAGTGGACGCCTCTAGGTCAGACTTCCTTCTGCCTATCTAACAACTCTGAAACTGACTAGGGCCGACTTCAGTAACTACATTGTAGTAATGTCAAACATAGAGGCATTGTTTCTGTCCTTTGCTCTCTATTCAGGGAGGGAGTGGTTATGTAATTGTGTGTTGAATTGTGTGTGTGATGTTATTTAGTGGAGATGAAAAATGTGGTTCTGCATATATTTGTGACTGGATACATTCTGATTGTTACAAAAAAAGATTTAGGTCTTCAGTAGGAACTAAGTGGCTTGGGGCAGAGTGCCACAGACAGGGAAGTTGTAACGAATTCACCACAACAATAGAGCTCTAATGCACAGAGGAATAAGACCCGGCTTGGAAACCACACGCAGTACCTGTTAATAGGATTCATTCATTGTTGGTTTTGGTCTTTTAATGGGGTTTGCTAACAACAAGAAATCAGTTCTAGGATGTCAGGGTGTTCTTGAATGCACCATAATGGAGACAATGCACTATGAATGAACGAAGCAGTAACTACTGAACATAATGCAGGTCCTGCAAGTTTATATTCATTAAGTACTGTAATGAATGGCCGGCTGAAAGGTCATTCTTTCATTCATTGCCTTGCAAATGAATATTATATGAAGAAAAGAGTAGTGGGAAATGGCTTTTGATAAATCAGTCAAGCAAACTCAAACAGGTCTATTAATCCTGTGAAACTATTCCAACAATTTTACTTGGCGATATACTTACTCCTCCCTCTGACCCAGCCAACGCCAGCCCTCTCTCAGCCAGCCTGCGTGTCAGAAACAGAAAGCATTATAAATGATTCGGCTGCATTACAGGGACAGATGACAGTGAATGGAAAACCAACAAGGGGAGAAGGGGATGAGACAGTCACGCTTCACTTTGTATCCCAGTGTTTACCTCCTGAGGACCTGAGCCTCCTGCCTCGTCACCATGTTGTCTGTGACAGCGCGGCCACACTTCTGAGGGGTGCATCCTGGGAGGGAAAGATGGAGAGAGAGAGAGAGTAAATAATAATACAGTATTTTTGGTACAGTATCCTCTGGATATAGAGGCCCCAGATCAGAGAAACTGGCTGATAAATAAAGTGCAAGGTAAGGAGTTTATTGAAGTTCTGCTCATTATTGCCACAAAATTCAGGACTTCCCTCCAACCTCCTGGCAATTAGAATTTATTGATCAAAGCCCTGCTGTGTTTTCTTTAGACAGTGGAGATGCACCATTTGAATTCCTAGTAGCCCACGTTTAATAAGACAAATCTCCAATTTGTACTTTGCTTGCAGCCAAGGATGGTCTTGAAATGGTTTCAAATTTCTGGGGAGATAAAGCAGGAAGTGTCTGCATTAAAATAAGTTTGGCTTGGAGTTGTAGGGGATCAAGAGTGCTTTGATTCCAATATGATAATACATACTTGAGCAGAATATTCCCGTATTATTCATTATTTTATTTCCTGCACACTGGAATGAACTGTGAATAAAGGCCAATTTTATTGGCCAGCTGGAAGCTGCCTCTGTCATCAATCAGCCACCTGACCGTGGCCAATTTGCTCAAATAAAGGTAAACTTACTATCTTCTGGCTACGGACTATTATTCGGACACAACAAGACATCTGAAGACTTCCCTTTAGGTTAGGGAAATTGTGTTGTACATTTTGTTTGGTTCTAGTTTCTATGACTTAATAGAATAGAATAGACCAAATGACTTAAAAAACAACTGAGAAAATATTTGGTGGAATGAACAATAATGAGCTCATAACTTACTGCACTTACTAATATTCATTGTCATTAGTTTTGTCCAGAACATTAAAGAGGTGATCCATTTCAAAAACTCTCAGTAAGTCCAAACAACAGGAATCTGGCAGAGACATTCATTGCTACTTGCATTTTGCTACTTGCACAGACAGATTCAATTATTTAGGTCCTGTATAAAAATAGGGTTTTAAAAGAAATGAAAAGATATACTGAAAGAAATAATTTCACTTCCTATTGTATACTATTTCAGAAGTTCAATTTCGTTTTCTATTTTAAATAGTATATAATAATAGTTATTTCCCCTGATATCTTTAAATTAGTCATTTCTTTTTAACCTCATCACATGACACAGGATCTACTGAGAAGAATAAACTTCCGTGCTTGGTTTTTTAGGAGTTTTTATTTCAGAACCTTATTTTACTTTAGTCCTGATTTGAAAACTGCCGTTTTCCCCAAATTTGTTGATTTGAGGCATACTTGCTTGTTAACAAATGGCTCTGCTCTGCTGCAGTGACTGTACATAGCTGTGAACATCTCTGTATGTATGAAGCTGAAGTGCACATGAGATCTCTCTCTTCCAACTTGTATGAGTTTAATTTGCTCTTACACACTGCTCTCTTGGTTGCAACCAATTATTTCTGTTGGTCCATCGATCAAATTTGCATTCCTCGGGTACAAATGCAGAAATATTATGGTCACATAGGCTTGTGCTATATTGCCATCTAGTGGATTAAATCCACACTGTTTCACACAGTTTCAGGAGTAAGAAGAAATGTCTTTCAATTTAGTTTTGAAAGTGTTGATTGAAAGAATTCCATTATTTAGCAAATTAGCCTTTTATGTCTTCTTTAGGTTCCAGTTTTACTGTTTGTTATAATGCAAATAGGAATTCACAGAAATTAAGTATGATGGTGCGTAAGACAAACTTCCAACTTCTCAAATATTGTAATTGACTCACTGTTATATCATGTGAAACTACTTAAAGGCAGAGCAGAATCCAACACCAGGAACGTGCCACTGGATCAGCAGGTTATTTATCAAGCTTCGTCCCGCCCTGGTCATGTTTACACAGCAGAGAGAGTTATCAGCTGATCGCCTGACACAGTACAGTGTAAGGACCGGCGTCTCACCTGGATAGCGTTTATAGCTGTCATAGTCTTCGGAGCACTGGACGGTGTAGACTCTGGGCTGGGGAGCGACCATCTCACTCTGGCTGACCAGTGTTTCTGTGACGTCACTGTCCAGAGAGGTCACGTACAGCCACATAGCCATCCCGAACACAGACAGAGCGACCAGCACCAAGGCTGCAGGCCCCCTGTAACTCCTCCATGCAGATCCCTGCCGCAGCGCATTACCTCTGAGTGAGACAGAAAAAAAGGACCAGATGACGATCAACTGAATTTGACTAGCTGTTGCAGTGCCGTCCATTCTACACTCTTATCTAAAATCAAGAATTGGGGAAGACATTGCTCTTAATGTTCCTGTTCTCATTTCTAAACACTCTTATTCTGCAGTTGCCAGGGGATATGTGGAAAGACTGTGGAGTAGCTCAACTAATTTGAAAACCCCCTGAAATTGTGATTTGGTTATGCAAAACATATATCCCCCTATTTGTGTTGGATAAAAAATATCCAAACAGGATAAGAAATTGATGTGATGCTAATCTTTTAGTTTTGGAATAAACAATAAACTACCAGTTATTAGTCAGTTGTAAAAACTTAAGGGTAAGTTTGGTATTCTTCAACATGTACCCTATTTTCCAGTGTTTTTAGTTCCTATGTGACAAACTGGGACAACATTTTTTTAAATTTCTCCAGTTTTGAGCAAGACAGAGCTGCAACGCAATCCTTAATTGCGCCCTATCAAAGTACTACAACTAAAGTGCTTGTTTTTACAGAGACAGACCTTTTTTAAAGAGTAAGATCCTTTTTGTTTAACCAGAAACAGTCACTGTATCACTCTCGTCATAATTTTTTATCTCTGGTCTACCGCTGCTTTGATCATTTAGCTTTTTTGTGTAGTTTGGATGACTTCTGCAATTGCCGTGTTCTGCAAGGTAAAATTAAATTTTTTGTCAAGGGAGTGTGGTGTCTTTGACAAGATCGATATAGGGTTTTTACTCTTTAATAAAAGGTCTGTCTCTGTAAGGACCCTTTCCACAAACTTGTCAGACACTTAAAACAATCCCGAGCCAGCCAGTGGCAAAAACAAGCACTTTAGTGGACGTACTATGATGGGGCACATTTGCCCACAGGATTATGTTGCAGCCCTGTTTGGTCAATCACTAGAATAGACTGACATGACAATCTTTTCTTTCTGGGGCAAGTTATACAAGACATGAATTAAAATAATCTTTCATTCTCACAGAAGGTACAAAGTAGACTATTAGGAAAACTAATAATACCCGTCTGGTGTTCTGTAAATGAAAGTAGGATGAAAAGGGCATCATGCTGTGGTATTTAACCATCTCAACCCCCTGATGTGAAATCACCACTGTAAGGCTGCAATTCACAGTTGGTCCATTAAATCGGAATAATGTTGTTAATTGATTAAAACAACAGACTGAAGTCAACCATCAGAAATAAAGAAATAAATTAAAGCATAAATGTAGAAATAAATGAATCAATGTAAATTTATAGAAAGTTTGAAAGAAACTGAAGACATTTATGGATTCATATCTGGTTTAATTACCAACATTTCACTCACTCAATTACTATTTCTAGATTAATTTAATCTATCTATTTACTTATTATTCATTTATGTATTCTTAGTTTTTTTTTTTTTTCATGCTCACGTCATTTTTTTGTCCTCCTGCAGTGATAACGTGGTAAATAAAAGCTACACTATTAGATGAAGCATTAGTGTGACTTTACTTCTCTCTGAAGACGACATTAACATAATGACTTCAGCGAGGTCCTGGTTGAAGTGTGCTCGTGCTGCATGGTGACAGTACCTGGCTGGCACACCCTCTCCTTTAACCCTGTCCAGCGTCGCACTGCCAGGACATCAGCATCGTTTAATTCACTCACCTTTTAATTTTCTTCTCTATTTCAGTGGCATTTGAACCCTGCGGATTTCTCAGTCGCAGCAGCGCCATTTCGACTCAAAGCGTCTAATACGTAGCATTTACAAAATACTGTCACGCACACACGGTTATTCTTGCCTACACATAACGTACACCCCGCCAACTACTCGCACCGCCACCTGATCGCTCTCCACTTCCTGGTCGACTCGTATCCGCCGACCCATTGGCTCTCCGTCAGGAAAGCAACGTTGTTATTGGACCACGTCCACGTCCAATTGAGTTCGACTACAACGCACAGCTGCAAAAACAGGAAATTGTACAGCTGTATGCTAATCCTGTGTTTGATACTCTGTCCTAAGCGTGACAGATGTTGAACTTGTGCATAATGTAGCACGTATTCTTCCATCCATTTGTCTAAAGATTAAACTAATCGATTACCTGCATTACGTACTGCATTAAAACTACGGAAAGCGGCACACAGAGGCGTTTCATGTGCAGAAAAAGTGATCTACCTCACAACAACATCCGCCGTGCAGTGTCATTCACCGCTAACGTCCCATCTCTGGTTCTTGCTTGAGCTCTGCGGTCCTGGTAAGTCAGACAACTGATCCAATGTTCATTCACAAAAATAAACACACCCACTAGTCTACTGTTCTTAATGTTAACGCTCTGTTCATCTCTGCGGTTCATCCCTGCAGTCTGTAACAGGCAGAATGACGTGTCCACCTTGGCCTAAAGGAAAGAAACTAGTTCACCTGGATTTGAAAGGTGCACCCCCAAGGGTAGAATACCTTCACAAGGTAAGAGCACAGCATTGTCCTCTGTGAACTGCTGCAGCTCATACAGTAATTACATGGCTAATCACGTTTGCTGTCCACTAATGTGTGTTTCATCCCCTTAGCTGATCGAGCTGTTCTCTCAGCTGGGAGTCGATGGCCTGTTGGTGGAGTACGAGGACATGTTTCCTTATGAGGGGGAGCTGAAGCTGCTGCAGGCCACAGCACAGCCTGCTTACAGGTGCAGTTTGGGACGTAAACACCGGACAATGATTATCCCATTCCTGATTTATGGGCTGGGTGCGATTGTTTTTTATCTGCCTTATACTGCTGTAAGAACCTGTTATAAAATTATAACCCTTCCTGTGTAGGATAGAGATAACACTTTGTGTGCCTGTTGTCCCATAAAATACTTTCAATAAATTGTGCCTGTTTGCAGCCGAGAGGAGTTACTGTCTATGCAGGAGTTTGCCAAATCTAAGGGCATGGAGGTGATCCCGCTTGTTCAGACATTTGGTCACATGGAGGTGAGGCAAACACCCTGCTCTCCTGTTTATAACTGTTTGTGATGGCAACAAATTGTGTTTAGTGTCTGTGTTTGTCCCTGTTTTTACTGTCTCAATGACCCGCATCTGTCCCTTCACTATCATAGTTTGTGCTGAAGCATCGGCCCATGTGGAGCCTGAGAGAGGTGCCATATTGCGTGGGTACCCTGAATCCCCACAGAGAAGAGGGGGTGAGGCTGGTGATGGAGATGCTGAGGCAGGTGGTGAAGCTGCATCCCGGCCTGAACACACTGCACATTGGAGCAGATGAGGTAAGGACTGTTTTCTTCTTTTGTTAAAAATTAAGTAGTTATGGTAGAAAGTATAGTCAATTCTGTTGTTCCCTATTTCTTTAAGGTGTACATCCTCGGCGAGGGGGAGGAGTCCAAACAGTGGTTGGACTTACCAGGACGCACAGTGGAGCAGCTTTTCCTGAGTCATGTGACCAAGGTGGCCAAGGCCATCAAGGCGACGTGGCCTCACATGACCATCATAATGTGGGATGATATGATGAGAAGCATGAGCCAGGACACACTAAAAGGTGAGGAAGAAATAGAGATGGCGCCCACTAAACCCAAGAGATCACTGATATTTCAAACATATAACAAGTTACTCAAGAAGGACAGAGGCATTGTTGTTGCTGTTTTGACACTTTCAGATTTAATTTAGAACCATCATCAGGAGCAGGTATTTAGGATTTGATGCAGTATAACGTGTGTGCAGTGGAATTTAGCTGGGTACGTTTACTTTTTAAGGGACTAGTACTTTTTGCAGTTGTTCCATTTTATTCTGCTTTATATTTCTGCTCAACTACATTTTAGAGAAATAAATTACTTTTTACAGTACTACATTTATCTGACACATGTTGTTACTAGTTATTTTACAAATGAGGAATTAACTTAGAAAACACAAAATACAATATGATGCATTATTACAGATTTAGCTACCAAACACTATCTGACAAACAAATCTGTCTCTTGATTTTACCGTTCATCAGTCCTTTTTTTCTTTTATTATCCATGGGACAGATAGCGGTCTAGTGGGACTCGTCCAGCCCATGTTGTGGGACTACACCCCTAATCTGGATGTGGACAAAACTGGTAGGAACTGTATACCATGGATATGTGAACATTGGGCTCTTATACATTAGGAGGTGGGGCAGTAGCTCAGTCAGTGGGGACCAGTTCAAGTCCAGTCTGGGCCATATTGACTGTGGACTTGTAGCTGGAGAGGTACCAGTTTACCCTGTTGGCACTGCCCTGGCACTGTACAGTAAACTGCCCACAGCTTTAAATTAGCATGTCGATAATTTGATTATTAATAATACTATTATTATTAAATTATTATCAAACAGTCTGCAACATGCTCAGAGCTTTGCTAGTTGTCACATTTGTTCCCTAAATGTGTTGTCCAGTGTCTCTGCTGGAGAAGTACTGCAGTGCCGGTATGTCAGACCTGTGGGCAGCGAGCTCCTTCAAAGGCTCCACCAACGTTTACACCTGTGTGCCCAGCACACAGAGGCATGTGGATAATCACCTGCAGTGGCTGAAGGTGGCTGCTTCTTTATCTGCTGGTATAAACCTACAGGGCATCGCCCTCACAGGCTGGCAAAGGTAAGTATTAGAGGAATTTCTCATTTTCTTCTTTGTTGGCACTGTGGAGGTGGTGGAAGCCTAGAGGCTGGAGTAGAGGACCAGGCTTATGACTGGGTGATCCAGGACTGTGTATGTGGTTGGTAGAAATGAATAATGCTTTCTGTTTAAACCATGGATAGCACCATATGTGCAGTGATGGAAAGTAACTAAGTACATTTTCTCAAGGACTGTACTTAAGTACAATTTTGTGGTACTTGATTGTACTTGATTACTTGTTTCCTTTTACTGCTACTTTATACTTGTAGTCCACTACAATTCAGAGGGATTCACTATTGTACTTTTAATTTCACTACAGTTATCTGACAGCTTTAGTTAAGCAACATAAAAATGGCTAAACTTACAGGTTCTGAGTTAGAAGCCGGTGTAGATCCACCCTTGAGCTGTTCGGTCGATAGATTTCATTTGGTTGTGAAGTTACAGCCTAGTGTTGTGTAATGGTAGATACACAACTGAACCATGAGAAACTGAAGTGGCCTTCCAACTGAAGAGGAAGTGACGTCTTAACTGAGGACCTGCCTTGATGAGAGAACTGACAGATTGCATTTTCATTTGCAGCTGCTTGTAAATGTAAATGCAATAGACTGGGGGCGCTGTTTCACTCATTGCATTTGAATAAAGTCCACTATAAATCAGAGTAAGTCTTTGAAAATGAAATGTCAAATGCTGTTCTCATTTTCACATAGTTAGAAAATGGCATTTTAATTTCATTTTTGACCTAAAAGGACCATGAGGACATGGACATGTAAATGCAATAGACTGGGGGCTGTTTCACTCATTGCATTTGAATAAAGTTCACTTTAGAGCGGGTTAAGCCTTTGAAAATGAAATGTCAAATGCTGTTTCCATTTTCATTTTAACATGGTCCTAGAATGCCCACGCAATTAAAATGAAAATTGGATGATTGAATTTTAATTTAAATTTTTACCTAAATAACACATACATATGTGGAAAATGATAATCTTATTGTGGGATTACATTTTCATTTTTGTATTTTGATCATTTGAAATTAGTCCACTATACGCTTCTACAGACTGTGGTATTGCAATGTATTGTAGTATTTTACTTAAGTAAAAGATAAAGTGCTTCTTCCACCTCTGCATCTCTGAACTGTACGAATGTGAAGCACAACACATACCAGTTTTTATGTAGAATAAAGCAGCCAACACTTGTTAGGGTCTAAAGGACTGAAATCGCCAGAAAGCATGTGATGTCACAGTTTTTCCAACATCATGTCCATGCACTGATTAACAAAGAGCTTTTTACATGGGCCATTATTTTCCCACTGTCAGGTATGACCACCTGTCAGTGCTGTGTGAGCTGATGTCTGTGGCTCTTCCATCACTAGCAGCCTGTCTCCAGACACTCGTCCATGGAGAGCTCAGTGCTGAGGCTCAAAGCAAAGTAACTGAGATGCTGGGTATTTCCTCAGTGGAGGTAGAGGCCATGGCGAGGTGAGGTCTGGCACTGTTTTATGAACTACACTACACGGTCATACATGTATGCATCTTCAGGTTAACAGCATTGTGTTCCATGTTGCCTTCAGGACTTCTGCAGACGAATCGCTGTTCCCAGGAAGGAGGCTGGCTGAGTTAACTGTGGAGCTTAATTCACTGCTGAACTCAGAGGACATTCGAATGTTTGAGAACGACATGTGAGTTCTGGGCTGTGATCACAAGATTTCATTTCCAGTGTCTCATCTGCCTTAGAAAGAAGTTTGACATGATGATGATGGGAGGATTTTAGAATACGGCATTAGTCTAGCTTAGTATAAAGGCTGATAATTGGGTAAATGGCTAGTCTTTGACATGCCCTTATCACACAGTAATTGGTTATTTTTAAGCAGTATATATGAACTCTTAATAATTATCTTTCCAATACATTTTGGGAAATGCTGGGAGTTGCATGCTTTAACTAACTCTTGGAGAACAGCCAGGCGCAGAGACTTCCAGCAGAGATCCCAGGATGTCATGGCATGTGTCCAAGAAATAGTCCAGCAAGTTGTAATTGTTACAATTGTTTTAAATCAGTTTTTTAATTCGTTTTGGTACAGATTAAAAGTTATAACGTGTTGCTGGTAGAAAGATTTTGTTACCTTTGGACTGTTCCCCCTGCTTCCACTCTGTGTGCTAAGCCAAGCTAACCAGTCTGCTGGCTGTACCTTCGTATTTAGCGTCCACAAATGAAAGTGGTGTCGATCTTCTTCTTATCTAATTCTCAGAATGAAGAAAGCAAATAAGCCCGTTTCCTAAAATGTAAAACCATTCTTTAAACCTTTGCAGACAAATATAGAAAAACCTTTAACTTCAGCTGAATAACTGCATGCCTGTGCTGCTGTAGGTTTGTAAGAGGATGGTTCAGCCCCTACCACCGAAAGAGGAAGATGGTAACCCCTCTGATCACCATGCAGATTCACAGCCAAGCATCAGCGTGAGAATAATTTGTTATATTACAGCTACACTCTCTGCACACTGTATTGCTTTTCTGAAATATGTTAAGAACTCTGGCTAGCCGATAACAAAAACCCCATCTGATTTGGTCTCCTCAGGTATTTGACTACATTACAAGAGAAGGTGGAGGCCGTGAGAAAAGAGATGGTGCATCTTTACCCAAATTCAACAGCCCAGGAGTGGATAGAGGAACACGTCAGCCCAGTAATGGCTCCTTTACAGAAGATAACAGAGGACATCAGAGCCTGTGTGAAGGAGATGGTGCCATAAAATATTTTGCCAGCTCAGAATCAAACAGCTTTTTTGATGAATTACGATACTGGTCTCTTAATTTTTTTGCAACTAGCGCTGAAATTACCAGGAGTGATTTTAATGCGTAAATTCACACTTACACAAGAGCAAATCTGGCGCTTGTAAATTGCACTAATTTTGGCAAGAAAATGGAAATATTCAAAGAGGACTTTGGGTTTATAAAACAACTTTATAATTAAACCACTCCAAATGTATCAAAGTAAACAAAGACAATAAAATCAACAACAAAAAAAAATCTCTCAAAATTCTTTCTTGCAAAACAGAACTTACTGACATTCACCATGCGTACATCGTTTGCCTGAGTATAGTCTTTGGTTCACAAAAATAAAATATAGGTTATAAGACAGAACAGCAGAGGGCCAAAGAATTTCACACACAATTGACTCTTGATTGAGCCCTGAAAATCCCTCATGCTTGATTACAGTTTGCACATCCATTCATCCGGACTGCGGTCTGGGTATGAATAAACATGCAAATGGTAATTATCGACTAGGTGGTCCAGAAAGTGGTGGGCAAAGCACTTTCCATCGACTTACACACAAACACTTATTAGAGTTCAGTAGGAAGGCACGGTACATCTGTAATCTCGAGTGTATTCTCAAATAGTAATTAGTTGTTTTTTTTTGTTTTTTTGTTTTTTTAAAAGGTAAAATTGTAATTTACAGAAAGCTACAGTACAAAAGATTAAGTGTCTTTTTCCATAATTCCTGGAGCTGTTTTAGAAAACTTTGACTAAACTGAAACATTTCTTTGACAAAACATTTAATTGGATGGATCTTTCCAACCCAGTTCACATGGAAATTCAATAAAAAATGTTTTTACTATAGCTTCCCAAGGCCAATACAAGGAAGGAGGTCTGTGTGGAGACACTGAAAGAGGCTATATCATTGGTGTTACATGCACATGTTGACAGTATAACGTAATGATGCATTATAATGCATTGCTTTAGTGATGTCATAATGCCCCTAATTCAATCCTCCCAAAGTAACAGCAACGTTGCGAGACCCAGACAGATCAGAGTTTGTCTGCTTCATCCTCTGAATCACTGCCGTTGTCCAAAGAATCCTCCTCCTCCTCTCCGTACTCGGCCTCTTCCTCTCGCTGCCTGCGTTGCTGCAGCTCCTCCAGCCCGAGGAAGCGCTTCAGCAATGCAGCCACAGCCTCCACATCACTGACCGGTAAAAGACGGATCAAAAGGAATGACAATTAATATAAAAAAGTATTTGTTTCTTGGTGTTATTGAGCCTTGGAATCTCAGAGAGCAGAACAATGAATACACCGTTTTGGTGTTTACTGTTTGTAATAATAATAATAATAATAATAATGTGTCAAGTACATCTTTCCAAAAGTTTTTGATCCTTGGGCAAAACCATTAACAGTATATGGTGTGATAGGGACAGAGTGTGATCTTGTGTTAGTTCTAAAAAGCATATTTGTTTTGCTTTTTTCTATCCAACTATAGTCTGGCTTTAATAGTCAACAATACTATATTTAATAGTCGACAATAACATCTGTGGGCAAAAAACTGTGTATACATTCATGACTGTTCACAATACAATCTTTTTGTCTGTGGATGACAGAAAGAGTAGTTGATGCTGTAACAGATAAAACAGATCAAATAAATTAACAATATAGTATACTTATATACATTAATTGATTTTTTTGGGGCACGTTGGGAAGCATAACAAGCTGCAAACACTGAAAGTTTTTCACCTTATAAAGTTGATATGCTGAATAAGTTAGAAAACATTACGTAGCAGATTAGAAACAACATTAGCATTCATTTTGACACACGTTTCTGGCCACCCAACAAATTTAAGTCCAATATTGGCTCTTCTTTAAGCTCTGTTTTGGTCTCCACCAACTCCTGAGAAAAATATCTGGCTCTTTAGTTGCTATATGCTCTACTATGTTCACCAGCTAGTCTCTGCTGCAGGAAACAAGGCCAATGAGAGCAGTGAGAGTGAACCAAAACAGGAAAGTTGGGGATTATAAAACCAGCGAGTTTAAAGGGGCTGAAGATTTACGTGGGAGAAGCAGATCTCAACAGTAATGAAAATGTCTATGTAGACATGCAATTATAAAATGCATACACAGTGAATTAGTATTGCTGAAAACAGGATTGTAATTTTGATGTGTTGGGACTATCAGCTACAGATACCTACCTGCGTGCCCCCATTGTGGCACTCTGAGTCAGGGGGTAGGAGAAGCCTGCAGCCAACCGCAGCATCAGCAGGTAGCCCTTCCCCAAATAGCGAACCCTCTCTTCCTGGATGCAGATGTCACACAGCTGTGTCAGATCCAGCACAACTGAGAAAAAGTGGGGACAAAACTTAAGATCTAATATTTTGCATTCCAACCACTAGTGTTGGCTACTATACTGAGTAACCCACTCTGTGGCGGTGTTACTGACCTTTCTCTTGCCCCTTTCTCCAAAACGTCAGGACTACAGCGTACAAGCTGAAGCTCTTGAGCTCAATCAGGTTCTTGGTTTTGTCAAACACAGCCTCCTCCCATTCCTCCATGTTCTGCATGGCGACAAACAGGCAGCCAGTCACGTAGAAAAGCTTCCAGAGGACGCTGTCTGCGTGATCCACACAACACATGAAATGAAAAGAAGGGAAAGCGGCACGAGTTGCAGTGGGCAAATGTGGAAAGTTACGTCAGTCGAAGGTTGCAAATTGACAAACAGATTGTGTCATTTCAGTTTGTGTACCTGAGCTGTAGTATGCAGCTGCCAACCCAATAGAAGCTATACCTGCAATTAAAATTAAAGATGAAGGAGATTTAATTACCGAGTTTGAACGTATTGAGTGGACAGGAGAGATACCTCAGTGTAGGAGATTTATTTTATATGTCAGTATATAGAATGTATGAACCTTTGCACACACACACTTACCGACAAGAAGAGACCAGGAACGGATGCCCGGGGATCTCTTCAGGTGGAGCAGCGTGAAGCTCTGCTCCTCTACCGTCATGTACACCATCTGGATAGAGGCATGGATATGAAATCTAGTATCACTTATAATAAAAGCCTATTTTACATGATCCCTACCTTAAAGGGCCAGTTTCCCCAAATCACAAAAAATATATGTTATTACTTGTCCCCAGTGGTATCTAGCCATGGAGACAGTTTTGGTTTTCTGCCCTCCCAATACAATGACAGTAAATGGACCTTTGTGCTGATCGGACAACTGAAAATTATATTTAACCACAAGTAACATGTCTTCCTAAGGCAGGACCACCAACCATGCAACACTTGGGCAACTGTCCCGGGGGCCACAACTCCAGCAACCCTAAAATATCCAGGCTTAATGTGCATTAAAAGGTTTGTGCTATTTCAATCATCCTTTTCAACAGCAGACATTTGAGCAAAAGAACAGGAGTTTCTGAAAACACTAATTACTCTATTACCTGAGCTAAAGGCCCCATCCTGAAGAGGCATTTCACAAAATGTCTTCCATTGCCTTAATTTGGGTTCTGCTTCATTACCAGTGAGGCTTGAGGAAACACTTCAAGACTGAGTCTAAAATCTAGTTTTAGGATCTTCATTATTTCAGATTTGAGCTTGTTGCATTGCCATTTCTGTTTTATCCTTTCACTGCACTGAGCAGCACAAATGAAAGTCCAGTTACATCCATTGTTTTGGGGTGCGGCCAGAGAGAAAGAGGTGGATACCTCAAAACCTCAACACATAAAACCCAAACTATCTGCCTGGTCGAATATCACTAGAGACAAGAGAAATCTATCAAGTATATCGTCTTTTTTGCAATTTGGGTGAACTGATTTTTTAATTCGATCTGAAAACCCAACAAGACCAGGAAGATGCTCCTGCTGATGATTGAGATTGGATGTGATGGATATGAACTGCCCACACATCAATCTTTCCAACCAACGATACGAACTACAAAATAGCACTTACCTTTAACTCTTCTTTCTTTCTGTAAATTCCCGCCGTGCAAATTTACCAAAAAGAGCAGTCATACAAGGAAACACATGCGCTGAAATATAAGGAAGTTGTTTCCATGTTCTTGCAATAACTGTCCTGAATGGGTGACACTTCCTTCCTGGATCGGCCTGTTCTGATTGGACGGGATCACTTTCACGCAGCCTTCAAAATAAAGGGTTGTAATTGCTTGCGTCTTGTCAAACAATCAACTCTGGCCACCCCTTCAGTAAAGCTTCCAGTGTTTGGTAAAGGAGCCACTTACAGACCGACTGGGAGTTTGTCACACATCATATTATGTGAATATTCTACCTCTTTTTAAAACATCCACCAGCCACTTTTTTTTTTTTATTTATTTGAGAAAAAGTCAAGTCAAAGCTTCCGGAGCAAATCGCCACTCCGTTTGCGCATGCGTCGTGGATTCACCGGGGGTGCACAATGGACTCGGATGTAGATAGACCTGACTGGCTTGAATACTAGAGGCCACGACGCCGTTGAAAGTACTAGTTTGTAACTTATGTTATGAAATAACCGCGCAGGCTCAAGCGAAAAGTGGTGGCGACACCACCAACAGACGACTTGACTTCTAACTGCGGACTTCCCCTGCTGTGCTGGGTCCGTGCTGCTGTTTTCCCATGCCACAGCAGTGATATAGAAACCGTCCGGTGAGTTACCTAAAGGCTCGACCTTGCACTGTGAACGCAGGGTATTTCATACTGTTAAACCAGCACGTTCACTAAATTAGCCGTCATCAAAAGAAGGGCGCGCAATGCAGTAGTATATTTTTTAATTGCATAGTTAGCTGAAATAAAATCGCATATTTAACTAAAATAAAATTCCTCCCTACGTTAACGTTAGCAAATTTACGTTAACGTGGCATATTGCGTTACAAATTATTGATGCTTTTAGCTAGCCAGAAATAATCACGAGCTAGTAAAATATTCAGCACAGTTTTCGAATTCTACTTCATGGGGAAATGACTTTGTATTCATACCATTATGTGGGTTTTCGAAGATTGATGAGCTTTCCGCCCACACTTGTCTGTTTTTCCCCTCGCGCGAACAAACTGTGACATAATGGCCTCTGGGGCTGTTTTTGTTGGATCTGTGTATATAATTAACGTGAGCCATTTAAATTTTAATGGCAGGATACTAGTTTGTGCTCACTGCCAGTTTCCCACCATTACAGAGCTGTTGTGTTTATGATAAGCAGGCAGCGTGTGATAGGACAGGTAGTCAGAGGAGGGTGGAGCTGACAGACCCACACACAGCAGCAGGCTGCAGTCATCAGGCCAGTGCTTCAGAGGGGACATGCAGGGAAGAAGTGATCGACACTGGGAAGTTAAAAGTGCTGTTTTCTATATGTATCCCCTTCAATTTACAGATAACGGCCAGGGAAAATGTCAGAGGTCAACATTGCAAAGCGCAAGGAGAAGTGTGAGAACTGCACCAAACAGGTACATTTCTGGATCTGTGTCTTATGTATCAGTGAATTTGCTTTTTCTTGCTGTCAATCAGCAATTTAAATATTGATCTCCCACTCACAGTGCAACAAGAAACAGGGCGAGAATGGTGCCAACTCACAGGAGGAGAAAGATGAAGTCAATGGACAGGTAAAGTCACTTTACTCACCGGTTTCGTTTATTATCGATTGATGTGGCAAAGTGAGACGTCATCAGGTTGTTTATAAAAGAGGCTCTCCACTTATTGTGTATGTCAAAATCAGTATACGAACGTCTTCCGTTGTCTAAAGTTTAAAAAAAAACCAAACAGGATTATCTCAGAAAACTTTGTTACAAACTGGAGGTGTGCAGTTCAAAACATGTGGGCATTTACCAGGCAAGGAAGGTTTAAGATAATATGTTATTGAGTAGCATTATGGGATGTGTAGGATCCAGTGACTAAAAGTCCCTCGACCCCTGCTGCTTCAATTTTAATTAAATCTGTCTCTTGTGAGTAGTGGAGCCAAATGTGGATGTCCAATACTAAAGTACACCTTTGTTTTAAAACCCTCCACATGACGCACTCCTTTCTTTCTCCTAAGGTGCATGAAGGATCCCAGTTGCTGCTGAGTGCCTGCCTGTCCTGCGATGGCTGTCTGTCAGAGGAGGAGAGCCTGAAGATCTCTCAGCAGAGCCTGGAGGAAGTGGAGCGGGTTCTGGCGCTCAATAAGGTACAATACATAACCAGTCGGCATCTGAAGCCTGAGAAATCGTGTTGTTGCGCAGTACCTTGCATTGCCCCCAATTGTTTCTGTGTCCCCGTCAGAAATGTGACGTGTCCAAGCACAAGGTGCTGGTAGCGTCGGTATGTCCACAGTCTCTGCCTTTCTTTGCTGTCAAGTTTGGGCTGGACGTCACTGAGGCTGCCCACAAACTCTGTGGTTTCCTCAAGAGTTTAGGTGAGTGTGGGATTCACATGTCGCTTTTTATATCTTCTAAAATCTTTACATGGTGTGTAAGTCCTCTTTAATGTATATATTTTTCCCCGTGAAGTGACGGATTTAATTGTGTACATGTCCACAGTGAGAGTTATGTAATTGCCACTTTGTTATGTAGAAAAATCCACCTACTAATCTGTATCTATCATGGATGGCTGACATTCTCCCCCGCTCTCCCTGTGCCTCTGTCTCTGTTCTCATCTGTCTTTTTTTTTTTCCCGCAGGGGTGCAGTATGTGTTCGACACCACTCTGTCGGCAGGCTTCAGCATCTTAGAGAGTCAGAAAGAGTTTATTCAGCGGTATCGCAGGAGGCACCACGACTCCCACGCCTTGCCCATGTTCACCTCCTCCTGTCCAGGTAAAACTGGCTTCTCTCCCTCCCATCAGACTGATTTTCTAGCCAACTGAACTATGCGCTACCCTGACGTTGCTTTTTTTGCCTCTTTCTTCTGCGGCTTCTCACGCTTGTAGCTGTACTGTGCATGTCGAGTGCTGAAAAGGGGAAAATGGAGCTTGTTTTAGAGGAGAGATAGCAGTGGTGTGCTGCTGGGGCAAGATAGAAAGCACTTCTCTCACCACTCCCTTCCCCAGAGATACTGTAGGAACAGCAAGAGTTAAGGACCTTCTTGGCCTCTCTTCTCAGGAACAAATGCAGTTTTCCATTCATTCCGTTTATAGGATTGCCGCTGGCATTCCTCAACTCCATGGACATTGATTATTAGAAATGTTTGGATTTGTATGGATCGGTGACTTTACAGGAATCTGCCCTAATGTTTAAGTAATTATTGTACTAGGGATGCAATTAACAGTTATTTTCAGTTAGTTATTATCAATTCACCTGTTGATCCTTTTTTTTTTTTTTTACTAACTGATCAATCATTTGAAAATGTCACATTTCTCCAGATTTCTCTTGATTAACTAATCAATTAATTGAACAATCATTTCAGCTCTATTCTTGCTTGTTGACGCTTGTTCAGCCCAGCTGTAGTGGAAACCCTAATAATTTTAGCAAATCCGAAACATTTACACCAGGGCTTTGTCACCATTAAAAAAGGGTATTGGACTTGCACAATGTTGTCCAGTATAAAGCTTGTTATATATGTTATATGTTGTATGTCTGTATAGATTATTTTAGACTGTGTGTTATCTTGTGGTGTGTTTTTCTTCTATATATGAAAACAATGAGTCCAGAGTGCAGTCAAGCCTTTTTCTAACAACGTTTGTGTGTGTTTACAGGATGGATCCGCTATGCAGAGCGCGTCCTGGGCAGCTTGGTCACCCCTCATATCTGCACAGCCAGGTCTCCCCAACAGGTCATGGGCTGTCTGGTCAAAGACTACTTCTCTAAACAGCAGGTGAGCGTTTAATGTCACAGCAGTCGAATGCATTTAGCTTGTCGGTGGTACCGCTACACATTATTGGCTACACACACGTTTGTTGACACAGTGGCAGGATCAGTAAAAGCCAGAGGTAACAGGATAAGAAGGTGGAGCAAATTAAAATATAATGAGCTGTGTAAGTTGTTGTGTAGAAACACAATTGTGATCTGAAGATAAATTTAAAATTATTCAAGTATCAGTTAATCACGTGATCCAGCAGACCCAGTGTGTGGCTCCAACATCATTTAGAAAAAGAACACGTCTTTGCTGTACCCTCGGTTTGAATCATTTACAGTATTATGAGTTGTATAGTAGCTTAACTCTGTCCTGTCCAGATGTTAGCTTAATAAAGGGGACACGCTTGTGGTTTTGCTGTCACAGCCAACTGACCAGTGGTGGTGATACACTAGTTTCATCTGAACAATTTCAGTGGAATATTCATAACACATAAGCGTTAATGGTATAACGGATGTTCTGTTATTTAGGTCTAGTGAAAAGAACTCTGAGCCTGTAGAAAATGTTTCATAAGAATCTGCCTTATTATGTTGTATTTTCTTTTGCCCTGCCTCCCAGCAGAAGCTGAGTCCAGAGAAAGTCTACCATGTGTTGGTGGCTCCCTGCTTCGATAAGAAGCTGGAGGCTGTTAGAGAGGAGTTTTACAACAGCCTGCTGGAGACCAGAGATGTGGACTGTGTCCTCACCTCAGGTTCAGTCCTCTTTATCTTACCCTGCCCTGCTCCAAATAATATTTGCAAATGTTTATTAGAGTTTGTTTTGACATTTAGGTTATGTTAAATACAGCTACAGGCTTACACAGGAGTGTAATATTGTTGTAATTGTAATAATATTGTTTTAGTCTCTTGTGGACTGATTTTATATTTCATTTGAAACATCAAATACATATCGTCATAATACTGTCTTAAACTTCCACTCATCATAGAGCACTTACAAATTTCTTTGTCTCACATAGTAGTGGATCTCATAACACAGACGCTACCTAACTAGCTAAATACAGACGTACACATTAACATGACCAGGCCAACAGGATACGCATCTCCTCTTATTCTGTTGTGTTGAGACCCATCTGTTTGTGTCAGGATTAGAGGCTGACATTTTTTCCGGAATCCTGTGGCTCGCAGGGTTCCCGTGGGATTCCCGCGGGGTGGGAGTCAATTTCGCTATTCTTCATAGGAAGGATAGGAATCGTGGATCAGTATGAAAAACAATATTTTATCGGTGTTGGAGTGAAAATCCACTCTTGTGTCACCCTGTAGTCTGCACAATGTACCTCACAGTGAGCGTTTGTGATCAGGTTGTGCTTCCTCGCCATGTTTGATTTTATCTGTGGGGAAGCTGCATCTGCTGCTAAACAAAGAATTCTGCTTCTGTTCTTCAGCCACACAGCTGGAGCGGTCATCATATGTGCATGCATTCACTCGCACAGTTCACTTAGTTAAAAACTTGGTAGCCTATGACATTACAAGTCGCGGTGGAAATTTTAAAAGCACGGACCAGCTAAGCATGTTTAAAATTTGTAATAAGAATGTTCGTGGTGATTAAAACCTGCTTTCACATAAAGATATTATGTGAAAAATTTAGATTTTTTTGCCGGGGGCGGGCTTTTACAATCATGATCCCTGCTCGACCATCTGTCAGCTATTGCTGATGGACGATGGCATTGTCTATCGGCCCAACCCTAGCAAACATTAAAACCATATGCTAGTTGTGGCTTTCAAATGACCAGTTATTTAGTATTTTATAGGATAGTTTGAGATCCACAGTAAACATGCATAATCAAATGTGCATTTACACCACACTACATAACACACAGGGTCACGCAAATCCAGCACATCTAAGACAAATATTATTGTGTAGTATGTTACAGTGAATCTTTTTTTTCTTCTTTTTTTTATGTTTCAGGGGAGATCCATTACCTGATGGAGCAGAGAAAGGTTTCAGTGGAGGAGCTGGACTCACTTCCACTGGACCATGTGTGAGTAGTTGGACTAGTTATCGTCCTATTGGTGATCTTTTGTGTGACAAAAGTTAAACATGTTCAAGCCAGGACTACCAGGATTTTTTCAAACTAGATAAAGCCATTGGTCGTGCTGCTGTTTGGCAGGTCGGAGAAAAAAAGGATGCAGTTAGCAAGTGCAGATAAGTAACAGAAACAATATTGTAAATAGTGTAGTTATTGATTAAATAAATTACACTTTCCTTCTGTATCAACTTTATTGACCAAAATTGTTTACGTAGTATTTTGACTCTTAATGTATATTCACACAGGCCAGGTATACGGTTTACAGGTGCTGTGATTGGTACGGTTTCATTGGTACTGTTTGATTGAATATATGTACAATACAGCTTAGACTTGTGTTGGACTATAACATTACTATTGCAAGTAATTTATTAGTTTAACTGACACAGGTCTTCATATATTAAAATACTTTGCTACTGCAGATGATGATAATGAGTATTTTGTCCGTCCCCCCCTCCCCCAACTTACATTTGTATATTTTTCACTGAGTTGTTAAAGAAGTCATTGTCAGAGTAGCCTATGCTGTCACTGCAGGCTGGGAGAGGCTGAAGACGTGGCGCTGGTGAGACACGAGGGCCGAGGTTCTGAAGGCTTTCTCGAACACATCTTCAAACATGCTGCCAAAGAGCTCTTTGGTCTGGACGTCCATGAGATCACATACAAGACCCTCAGGTGAGACACACTGGCACTGTGAGACTTATTCTGGTGGAATATACTGTAGCCTCCATGTAAATTCTTTAATGCTTTAATCATGATGTTGGTCCAGCGTCATTATAAGTGTGAATACTTTAAAGGTACACCATTATTATCATATCGTCATATCTTTTGAATTGGGATATGAAATTGAATTTCTTTTAAAACTTTCCTCCTGTGTGCCATGTTGTTGTTTTTTTTTAAGGAACCGGGACTTCCAGGAAGTGACTCTGGAGCGGGACGGGGAAACTCTGCTACAGTTTGCTGCCGTCTACGGTTTCAGGAACATCCAAACCCTGGTTCACCGAATGAGAAAGGGACGCGTCCCTTACCAGCTGGTTGAGGTGCTGTCCTGCCCAGGAGGTGACCCCACAACTACCAACATGATTTTTATAAACAACAAGCAGTATTTATTTGTTTTGAAACTTAATCCTGCCAGTCCTACAACGTTACTTGAAATACTACCCTTCATGTCCACTCAGGGTGCTTGAGCGGCCGCGGACAGGCGGAGAGCGAGGTAGGAGGCTCGTTGGATAAAGCCCTGGTGCAGCAGATGGAGGAGGCCTACAGCAGCCTGCCAGTCCGTCTCCCAGAGGTCAACCCCGTCCTGCACACCCTTTATCAAGAGTGGCTGCAGGGCCAGGACTCCCCGCAGGCTAGCACACTCCTGCACACCCACTACAGAAATCAGAGTCAGATCCACACACAGCCCCCACACATGCAGTGGTGAGGAGAAAGGGCATGCTTTCGGACATGATGGAAGTCGGAGGGGGAGGGGGGGGGGGGGTGCTGATTCTGCTTGGACCATCTCATCCAATCATGAAAGATAAGCCGAGAACCACTCTGCACTACGGGTCAGGCAATTCTCAACATGTGCAGTTTTTCATTTGGCCACATGAGGGCAATATCTGTATTTACAATTGGTGAATCTCCTGTGCCAAGACTGAAGACCAATGAGGGTCCAGAGTCCAGATAAACACATATTTACATTTTCTGCAGACTGAAGCAGTGATGTCAGTAAGCTGCAGACAATGGCAAACAAAAGAATAGGTACAAAGTCACCTCATCTGCCAGATGTTCTGAGAAATGAGGGCGTCTGTAGCCAGTGTGAACTATCATGTCTATTTACAGAGCAATAAGCTACTGAGGACACGTAAGAAGCTTTTAGGAGCCCGTGAACTGAACTTTTGGGTACTGAATGTACATTTGAGTCCAATATATTCCAAATGTTAACTGTCCCAAATTGTGTAAAAGTTGTGTCCACTGTTCCTCACTGAAAGACAAGACACTGTTTTCTTAAACAAATTAATAACTATGCAACAGTGTGATTGTCTTATCTCTACAGTCAGTGGAAAGTAAGTCTGCTGTGACTCAAGAGGTTAAAGGCTTTTTAATAACGTAATAACCTGACCTGTTTGCTTATATGTAACTACCAGCCCAATGTT